GCACTGAGCGGGGACAGGAATTACTTGAGAACGCTGCTCTGTGGTGCCTTTCCAGATATGTCTGCTTCACAGCGTTTGACACTGCTCGAAACAAAAAGTTTCCACAGAGCTTCCAAAGCTTCAGTGCTAAGTGCTCACTACTTAATACTGCCATTTTATAAGCACAGAGATAAATGTCTAGGTCTCGTCACTTGATTTATCTTGTTTCATGTCTGCTTACAGAATCATCAATGCCATTCTGTACACATTCTTTCCCTGATCTGGCAAAACACAAACCCCGTATATCTATGCTGCCATAATCCGTGGAAGGAGTGAGCTCTCCTAATCATGTCCATTCAGACACTTACTCTAGTCCTTTTAAAGTAAAAAGCTGCTTCTAACTTCATCAATGCTGTCTCAGAGAGTTCATTTCAGTCATTTTGATTATCACAGCACAGCCTACATGCCTCAGAAGCATGCTGGCCACTTGGCATTCAGTGGGATTAACCTGTGTGGACTTTCACAAATATCCTTGTGAACTTCACTCAAATTTACTTCACTCAGGTTCCCACCTCTAAATACACTGGTCAATGAATTTAGCCAGCCCCAAAATCAGTTACTAGTGCTAAGGAAACATAGGAAAAACATCAGGAAATGGAGAAGTTCTGAAACAAAAGCCTATGACCGGGTAGCTAATTGCTACTGTGCTAATTCTAATTGAAGCTTAATAAAAGGCTTGAATAAATACTCAATTTTTGATGAAAATTTTAAGTCTTAGACAGCATTTTACATCATTTTGAAATGTAGAAATGGTTTGTTAAGCTTGATATCAACATATATAAGAAGAAATGCAAAGCACTTGTCTCTACTTGTGAGCTGTTCCCTCCCTTTTCAATACATACATGTATGAAAGTGCTCTTGTTTATTTCCAGCTTTCATTTCCCCTCCTTCCATTGTTTTTAGCTCCTCTGGCCATAGATTTTCTCATATAATCTATAGGTCTAACCCTCGGGCAGGTTCCTTGCCCTGCTGAACTCGAGTCACAGAAATATACTGACTCCACATTTCTCTTTTCTTATTAGCTGACATACTCTTTTTAAAAAATAATTATTTTGTTTTACAAAGGCCTGTAAATTACAGCTCTTCACAGAATCCCCCTTAAAGTAAAATGCAAGTGCTGTAAATAACTGTTACTGGTGAAATACTCATTTAAAAGGTAAAACTTTGGCTGCCTTTTACACCACGATAGTTTTCCTTCCTTGCAACAAAATTTAGGTGCTGTGTTCCTTCTGGAGAGTGGTGAAAACACTGTGCTGTGGAAGGATGAAAATATCTTTTCTGGCTGAGCTAACTGCTTCTGTAGACTACTTTTGCTAAATGTTCTAGCAGAGGTTAGAAAACTGCTTGGAATGGCTTGGAAGTTTTGCTCTACGCTAGAGACATTAGGTAAAAACAAATCACTTCAGGATAATTAGAGAAATATTTATATTGAAACATGAAACATTTGTTTAGAAACAAAAATTACAATTTAAAATCGACTGACACTTAAGTTTACTTACATATTTTTAGGAGGAAGCATATTTTTGTTAAATCATTCATAGCCAGGTATGCCTTATCAAGCAATGTAGTAGTGTATATTCACTGGCAGAAGAGAAATCTTTAAAGCCTACTTAAGTCACATGGATTTTTCTGTATTCCAGAAAATGGGAGTACATGGAGTCTAAAACATCTGAAAACCTAGAAAATAGGGAGGAATTAAAGACCAGTTTTATTTTATCCCTGCTTTAATGACATCATGATCCACTATAGGGATCTGCCAGGTTCTCTGCCTTTGTCAGAGTTCAAACAGGATATCGAGATGATGGCAGCCACAGAGCTGAAACTAATTCTACCTCACGTTTGCACATCTTGCATTTACATGAGCTGCACTAAACAGGTTGTTCTTGCACTATGTTTTGTAGTAAAATACAACTCATTCACCCCAGGAGGAACTCCACTGCTCCAGCTGCACACTCAACAACAGCTCTAGTGTAGCCTGCTACTTCAGCTCCCCTCTCCTGATGCCAACAGTAAACCCAGCAAACACTACCCTCCCTGCTAAAAAGCAACTTGGCACAAAGTCCTCCATACAGCCAGAAATGGTTTACTCAACAGAGTAAACTCAGCACTGAGTTAGGTTTACAGATCCACTAAGATTTACACACAGTTTCCCCTTCTTCAGACCTGGGCACACTCTGATAGCTAACTCCACCATACAGAAACAAAATCACTCCTTATAGTGACTCACAGCTGTTCTGTCAGTGAAAGCACCAACCAGTGTTACTTAGCACAGCTAAGTTCTGTGCAGCAAAATAATTGGAGTAAAATTCCCCTTTTCCCTAACGGTTCTTTTCTCCACCACTGATCACACAGGCAAGAAGAACATGTAGGTGCAAGTGCTTCTCCTCCAAATGTCTTCTGTCACACCGCTCATTTTTTGCCTGGCTATGTGCTGATCTCCTGACTCCCTTCCACCTGAGACAACTGGTCCCCTTCCACTCTTCCTGCTGCATCTGCTAGTGTATCCCTTCTCCCACCTGAACAAATATCTTCCAGCATAATTTATTTTCACCTTGGAAATAGTCAGAATATATATGGAATTATCTGCTTTTCTAAAGTGACTCAGTCAGGAAGTCGATCTTGGACACACCAAATATAGACTGAATATAGACTGTAAGTAACAGTGCTGCTTTTACAGCTGAAGAGGGGACACCACTGAATCCTTCTGGAGCTACCCTGTTCTCATGCTTCTCACCTCAGCATGAAGGCTGAAGAGATCTGAGTCATAATTTGGATAACTGGCTAAGTACCTGAAAATTTAACTTCTTACTGAAGTTGCAATCCTGAAAAATCTTTTGCAAATTGCCCATTGTTTATCCATGGGTGAATACATGGATAGAAACAAATAGAGATTTACTTAGTAGGAGATTTTTTCAACACACTTACTTTATTCTTCTAATAAATACAACAGAGAGCATTCCTAGACCAACCAAAGTAATTTTTAAGTCAAATCAGTTCGCTGAGTTAGCATTCAATCTATTTTGGAGACACTAGACTATTTTTACTGGGGAGGAATCACATGTACATAATGAAGACCCCATTTCAATGCAGCACATCTGAAGGATCTTGGAGAAAGTGAGTTACAATTGTACTTCCCAGCAGAAGCAACAGTTGCAGTCAGGCTTGTTTGATGCTACAAAACAGAACCTTTAGTAATATGTGATTTAGTAACACTGTGAGCATGTTGTTAAATGCTCATGATATCTTTATACTCTAAATAACCGTTAGTAATATCACCATTCAAGTCACTGCAATCAGTGAACTAAACACTTGTTATTGTTATATTTGTGTGCTGGTCCATCACAACTAGTTTTTATTCTTAGAATCAAAGGGTAAAACAAGCATGCCCACTTTGCAAGTTCACTCTCCTCCACTTTTCTTAATTGTGAATTAAGCAGTTTTTGGACTAAGGTAAATAAACATAATAAATGGAATGATGGAAACATATTTCTTGCTCCTGCAAAGGAGACTAACATCATCTAAAAGCTAGTATATCACTAACATCTATCTATCTTGAGTGGTAAGCCAATTCAGTAGTTTGACTTTCTTGAAAACTTGGCAGCAAAAACGTGTTGTGCAAATATTATTTCTATTCAGATTACGCTGTTTGAATATACCAAGGGCAAGTGAGGCCTTCACAGAAGTAGTCAATATTATCTTTAATTCTAAATCAACTTCATTTATATATATTCGCATAATGAAAAAAAAAAATCTTTTAAATGGCTCTTCCGAAAAACAAATGCTTTTTAATTGCACTCTAGTGTTATCAGGCACATTGTTCCTAGATAAATTGTGGCATGTCAAAGGAAACGCACTCCTAACATACTGCCTGAAATACCTGCCTTAATGCTCCTTTGGGCACGGGTGCCCTCTTCTGGACATTGCCTCTGGATTAAAAATTGAAGCTCTGCTCTCTGGCAAAAACCTCCTCAAACTGTGCTTCAGGAAAAAATGGCTAATAGTTTGCAGCAGCTGGCTCACAAGAGCATACTGAACACACTTCACAAACAGTATTTTTGAGAAAAAGTGCAGTGGGGTGCAACAAAATATGTGGAAAGTGGCTTGTTTAAGTTTGAAAAATACTGTAAGCCTGACAGAACGCTACAGATGCAACTCCATAGCAGAAGCTGAGTGCACATCTGTATCTGCTAATGTATCTGCACTAGAGTTAAGTACAGTTGCAATGGGTTAAAAAATAAAAAAAAAGAAGAAAATAAAAAAAGAAAACCAAGCAGAAGTGATTTCAATGTGATCAGACTGCAAAGGATGTGGCCAGATTATCTAGCAAATTCAAGTATTTTACTTAGACTTAAAAACATGTGTTTGTCTTTTTTTCTGCAACGACCAAAATTCCCTCCTCGTAATAGCTACAAGCAAGCCAGAACTGACCCACACAGAAAAAATGGAAGTAATCCTTTCTTCAAAGATTTACTGAAACACACAGAAATGCATTGTCCTCAGCTAGCCCTCATAGAAAAGTCCCCTTTCCCATCAGTGTTTTTTCTTCTTCCCTTAAATTTTGGAGGGAGAGATGTACGAGCCACTGGAATGAACTGAGAGCAAATCTGTTTTGGGAACGGATTACAAAAATTAAAGCTAATCCAAACCACAAAGAAGTCCAGTGAGGGTATATGTTGGGGTATGATGCTCTTTCCTCTTTTTGAATTTAAACTGGTAACTTTACTAGTTCGCATTTAATTTTCAGGTGCAAGATATTCAATTTATAGAGAAACACTGTTCACTTAGAGCACTTCTTCAACCTCATTTCAAACCCCATGAATGATATAAGATAGCCTGAATCCTTCAGGAATTATTTCTACACATCAGGAAAAATCTCAGAAGGCCAATTAATCACCACCCAGGAGGAATCTTTAAGCACAGTGAGTACACTCCCTCCCATTACTTCCAATCCCACCACTTACCAAAATACACTTCCTGAGTTGGTTTCAATTTCAGCAAAGAATGATCTGAAACGTATAGGTCAAGCACCAAGTTTTATCTAGAAACAAAGTTTAAGGATTTCATTAGTGGGCTTAAAATTAAAAAGCCAATTTTAATCATATTGGACTTAAAATTAAAAGGCCCATGAAAACTATATTTTTCACTACACTGGCAGTATGAAAATTTTGAAAAAAAAATATAGTAGCAGTTTTGATTACTGAAAATAAATTTATTTGTCAAAGATAGCGAAATACTTGATTCAATTAGAAATTTCATACCTCATTTACAAGATAAGTGTCTGAAAAAGCAATCTGAGAAGGCATTTCCAAGTCATTAGAAAAAAAGCACTATGCAAAAGGTTGTCAACAAACATTATTCTAAAATTGATTCTTAGAATGAAAAAAAATCATAAATTTATGATATATTTTGAAACTGCAATTTTACCTTGAGATTCTGGATAGCGAGCAGCCCCTCCACAGAACGGGACAGTTCAGACGAACAACAGCAACGCACTCAACTGCTATTGATTTCACTGGCCTACATTTAGGGAAACTCTGCTGAATGCAAACTCAGTGAGGCTGCACTGTGATTTTATTTGACTTGCTCCAGATTTATCTTGGTATGAATGAAAGAAGCTTGCCTGTTTTACTTGAAGTGTATTATATAAGCAGATAAACCATTTACAGCGTCCAACAAAATGGTTTGGAATTACTGAAAGGTGATTTATTTTAACTCTCTGGTATCACAGGGTGTTTCTATTGCATGGCAGCATCAGTCATTAATGAAGAAAAAAATCTGGCTTAGCTGAACAATGAACTCAGTAACTGAAAAGTGAAGTCAGTAAGCAAAGATGCATTGAAAATCTCGCAGCTAAACCACAGAAATGATCTGCTGGGAGAGACGGTTGGCAGGTATTTTGGTAGTTAACATTTACTGTTAAACTTCTACAGAATAAGGCTGTATTTAAAAATGAATGCCACATCCAATATCAACATGAGATCCTACTACAGTACAATTAAAAATTATAATTTTTCTTTTTACAGACAGGAAATCACTACCAGATCAGCAGCACAACCACCGATTTTCTTAAAGATAGCACATATATAGGGCAACCAACAAGAGCCAGATCCTTTCTTCATAATGAGTAACACATTTCATGACGTTCCTTCAGATGACAGACGGGAAAAAAGCCCAGCAGTTTACTGCCTTCTGTACATCCTGTACATAAAATACTCCTTTGTGACCTCTTTCTTCATACTCAAATGCCTTTTATTCTCTCTCCTCTCCTGCCAAAGGCACTTAATATTCTAATATTTTCAATCACTTCTATCATCATTTCACTTTGGTGACAGAATCACCACTACATGCAAATAAAACAAAAGGATTGATTGGAGGGTTTGTTTTACCAGATGACTGAGATGCCATCCATAATCTGCATGTAGATTTACATATCTATTTGGCGTACTCAGTTCTTTAAAAACAACACAAAAGGAGTGTGGAAGTTTTTCTTCCTCCTATTTCATTTACACAATGATGACAACAAAAGAATGGAACATTCCAGATAGGAATTGAATACATGCTAAAAATCAGAATAAAGCTTCTATATGTAAGAACTGAGGCTCTCAGGTTCCAGTGGGCAAAAAAAAATTATGTTGCCTTAAGCTTGCACTCAATAGACTTGATTAGGATTTCCACCCTAGAGAAAGAAGATACAATGTATGGAAGATTTGGAGCAAACACTATGCCCCTTCCAGTTGGAGGCCCCTAGGAATCCTGATCTGGTTAAGTCTTACAGTAGATGATCTCCGTTTCATTTGGTGCAGGTTTGATATACTCCAACTGATCTGCTAAGTTCCCTTTTTGCAGCGTAGAGACCAATGTAAACACAGAAGGACACACAACAGGCAAAGGCAGAACAACAAAGATGTAAGCATAAGAAATTCACTCATAATGCTCCTAGCAGTCCTTCTGCGTAGCTCAGGAGTACTATGTGCAGCTCTCCTACTTCCAACTGGCACCTGTCCTGGACGCTGCGTACAGCTGAGGTGCAAGAAGCACACAGGGATTTAAAGACAGCTCTCCCAGTTTGTACCAACTTGAGGCCTGTGCCTGTGGGTTTGGATTACAATGGGAGTCACATTCATGTATTCTAGTTATACATGAAACTGCAAAGCACTTCAAAATATTTGCAAAACATCTATTTCCAGAGTTTGCTCATTCCTACAGTAATGCAGAGCTGCAGCGCAAAACAGTGCCTTTCTTCAAAATGGAAATGCTTGGCTTTTAACACAACACAGTGGAAAAAGATTCATGCCATTCTTGGTGTAAATTTAAAAGAATCACAAGCAGCCATCAGGAGGTCTGGAAACACAAACTATGAACGAATATGCTTTATAATTGCAAAAGGAGGTAAGAAGCAAAGGAAACCATTGATTTGGGAGCGTGTGTATATCTGTAAGTGTGTATTCAGGTACTAGATTTGCTTAGTACACTGGTATTTTTAACCCTCATTTAATGCCAAAACATGTTTTTCCTAGCAGGGATAGAATTTAGCCACCCCCTGGAAAGTGCTATTAAAAATAGCAACACCTCTTCTTACAAGAAGAACGCCAGAATGTCCAACTGATATGTTTGCCTGAGCAGTCAGATGTAACTAATGATGAAATTAATTCATCTCAGGTATAACAGCAGGAACTGTAATAAGATAAAAAATGGCCAAACATTTCAAGGTCAACATGGACTTTTTCAGAGCTTTACAAACAACTTCTCCCACTACCCAGGCCTTCTCACACAAATACACACTACTTGCTATCTTCTTCTTTTCTCTTTTTTAAAAGAGTTTTTTTAAAAAGATAGACAACTACAAAATACAAGGGTTAAAGCTCTTACAGCTTAAAGGTTTAACATTCATACAAAAATGACAAAGAAGCAAGTCAAAAGAGGCAACATAGCTAGGATAAAGGACTGCAAAACATCTACACACTACAAACCTAAGCACCAGGGAAAATGAAGCAAACAGTCCCTGCAAGCTTGTCAGAAAAGATTTTTCTGAAAAATCACTGCAAGTTTGTGAACTGTTAGTGCTGACCCTGAGGACTGAAATCCTAATGCAGACTTGATGAGAAGTGAATGTCTCTGTAGGTCTGAGGTCTCTGTAGCAATACCACTGTCTCTGGAAGTTTGTGCTCCTGTGCACACCTGGCTGTGGCTGCTCAAGTCTGATTTCATGACTTTTTTCCTTAGACACATCTTCTGCCTTGGGTATGAATGCACATTCATAACTCAGCAACAGTAAGGGAAATTAAAAATCAGCTAAATCTCTGCCTGTTGTTTGAAATCCCAGTCTGACTTCGACCAGCCATGGGAAAGAAAGTAACAAACAAAAAGCAACTGAAATGCTACAACTTAGCTCTAAGTAAGAAAAGGTTCTTTCTTTCCCAGGTTGCCTATGAGTTTCTGATCAGTACAACCACTCCACGTTACAGGTTGCGTCTTCAAATAAGCACAATTTTTCTCACTTTCAGCCCTTAATTCTGCTGGCTGAAGGATGGAACCAGCAGTTTTCCAATTAGTGGTGATGCTGAATAGTCATCACTGCTGGCTCCATTCGGACGAAAGGAAATGGTTAAGCTTCTAACACTACTCAAGTACCCAACAGGTTGATTCTCACTACCCATGCATAAAAATAACACACAGCTAAAAACTACCTCTTGTTAGGAAGATGCAGCAAAATCACAGTACCAAATGGATAGGCATTTATAATATTGTTCAAGAACTCATCTCTTATATCCAAGTATTTCATTTTCTTTTATTAGATATTTCCTATTTGGTCATTTTGGCTTTTGATTCAGGAATATGACATTATGCGCTGCCTCACACCGAGTGATCAGTTTGAGAGTGATGCCCGTGCATCTGCAAACTTGGGCAAGAAAACACTATATGAACAATGCCCCAGCAAGGTTCAGGAAACAAACCCTAACAAGGCAGTTTTGATGCAACCATCCTCTATGGGGAAGAAAAGCTCAGCTACAAGCTAAACTAAGCTGTAACATCCAGCCTCTGAGCCAGAGGGAGGTACCTGGCTCTTTTTATTTAACTGCATAGACTCAGCCAGAGGGTGTAACCCTTCCAGCTGAAATCAAAGTTTGTATCAGAGCCGGCTTTCTGGGTTTCAATCCAGGTAACATAGGATAGTTCTGGCTGTAAGATAAGCTTGTAAGTTTTCTGGCAATATTTGCCCCACAGGCTATGTGTGTAACTAGGCGCTTGCATACTGGCACTGGCTTACTATTACGTTAAAAACCCAGCATAAAAAAGAAACAAACAAACAACAACAACAAAAAACTAACAAACAAACAAAAATCACAGAACTTAGAAGCAACTGTACCTCAGGCACATCATTCCATAATGAGAAACTTTTTTTTTTTTTTTTTTAGATTAAAAAACCCACAATTCACATTTGGAGAGCACAGGATCTGTCAGAGCAATGGGATAATAAAACTACCAATACAATTCTCACAGCCAAGGTAAAAGGCAAATAGGAGGAAAAGAAAATTAAGAGGAGCTTTCTTTCACAAGCTTTTACTATATCTGAAATCTTTCTGGTAACTAGCAGCAAATGAGGAGGATAAGGATCTCTTCCTGCTTCTCAACAACGTGTGCCCAATTCTCTTCCTCCTTCAGCTTTTTGAAAAACACGAGTTCTGTGCAAACAATATGAATAACTGCATATGGAAGAGTGAGGAAGAGCATTTGATGTATAAAAGGACTCTGTGGAGAGACATTTACTTATTCTACTTCTTGAAAAGTCATATGAGGCAACTCAGTTAAATCACCTCTCCACCCATGTTGCAGCATATGGCAGAAGAGCCTTCCTGTCTAGGGAAGAATTCATTTCATGTTTCCTAACCTGAGGCTTTTAATGTGGAATTTACCCAAGAGTGGGTTCTTTTTGTGGACTTGAGAAGAGGCGAATGCTTTGAGTACAGATGGCAAATGTGAGCTAAGTACAGAAAACACCAAAATATTAAGGATTCTTCAGTGAAGAGAAGCAGCTAC